TTTAAAAATGCTTAAGGAAGCAGTACTTTTGTTTTTCCTCTGAAGTGCAGAATTATGGGTAATTTTAATTTGGAGTGGGCAAATATATTGGCTGATCATTTAGAAATGATATGGGTGATTTTCAGAATATATTTAGAAAAGTGGCTTTGAAATTGTCTTTTCAGCATACGTCAATCCATCACAGTATTGGAGATCTTGCCCTCCGATAAGAGGCTAGAGGCCGCTCCCCACTCTCACACACACTTTTAAAAAAGATCCCCTGAAGTCCTGTAGTTCTTTTTATAGACTTGCGTTATGGTATCAGTCACATTATCTTGTAATTATTATGACTCCGAGCTCCTAAAGGACATGGATACCAGCACAATGCTCGTCATAAAGCAATTGTTCAATCCACTCTGACTGAACAAATGAAGATTCTTCTGCTTAAATGGATTTTTCAGACACAGGTGCCTATGGGAGCTTCTAAGCAGCCAGTGAAGAATATGAAAGCCAGGTGATATTTTGCTTCACTTCTGTGTCCACTGTACACGCAACATCCATCGCAGTTGTTCTATTGGGCAGTTACTCAAGGACCCGTCTGTTCCTCTTTCACATGTCCACCAACCAGAAGCTTCTAAACTGGCTTAATTGCTGTCCTCTATAGTCAGTAAGGATTCTTGTGGTTGGTATTTTATTTCTTATGAAGTCTTTTTATTTTTGAGCAGCCTCTGTGCCTAGGCAGTCAGTTTCTAACTCCTTCAGCCTTACGAGGCCATTAGCTCCCGCTTATAGGCACACAGCTGCTAAAAAGGCTTCCTCTAGAGTTCAACACATCTAATTTCCATCCTGTGTGTTCCGTTAGCTTGTCTTGATTCCAGCTATGCTTTAAATGTTGGCTACTATTTTTACACTGATTACAACCTCCTATCTGCACGTCTTTAGACAATCGTCATCATCCATACCTGGACCAAAGGGATTTTTTTTTTTTTACTAGTTGTCATGAAGTAGCCGAAGTACTGACTGGGTATAGAGTTAAGACGTAAACCTGAAGGCAGCTCTCAGTCACTATCATTAGCTATTTGGCCTTGAGTAAATCACTTAATCTTCCTGAAGTTTAGTTTTGTCATCTGTAAAATGAGGGTTATAGAGCTTCTTTTCTGCATTGTGAGGACTAAAGAAGATTATGTGAAGGCGTTTTAGTAAGTTCTAAAACATTATGAAACACTGGTAATAGTGACTTTTTGGTTCTTTTTAATAATCTATGATATACATGAATTTTATATTTTATAAAATTCAAACATTTCAGATAAAGTATGCCCTCTTGACCTTCCACAAATCTCATTCTCCTTAGAGGTAACCACTGTTAGAAGTTTGTTGTATATCTTTCTAGATCTTCTCTATGAATTCTTTTACTTTTTTATATTCATGTAGAGATACTTCTTTTTATATTGTGATAAAAAAATACCACACTGTTCTGCTATCCTTTAATATGACTTGAGATAGTTCATAGAGATTTTTATCTTTTTAAAAACTTACATAGAAGATGTGGAAATAGTACAATAGTTGATATACTGTTTCCCTATTATTAATGGAGACTTGAGGTTCTTTCCAGTTTTGCATGATTAGAAACTGCACTGCATTGAAAATCTTTGCACATGTTTCTTTGAGCACATGTGCAAGTGATTCTCTAGTATGGAGATCAAAGATGTGAAATCACAGGAAGGCATATGCATTAAATATTTTAATAATATTGTCAAGTTGCTTTGCAAAATGGTGGTGCCAATATGCTTACATTCCTGCTATTAGATGTAAAGGTATCTATTTACTTACTTATCTTGCCAATTTGTGATACTTTAGTTTTCTCCAATCTCATGAGTGAAAAGATATCGCAAATCTAACAGTGTTCATAGGCGACATGGTTTGTGAGTGCAAACAAAAAGGACTGGAAACAATTTAAATATATATTAATGGAGAAATAAGACAGATAAATAAATTCTGATGTGTTCATAGACTAGAACACTGAACAGTAGTCAAAATTAGTGAAATTAATCTTATAATATTGAGCAAATAATAAAAGGAAATTGCTAAAGAATACATACAGTAGGATCCATTTCTATAATCTTCAAAAACATGCAAAGTTAATGCATTTCGCAGGGAAAGATATATGCATGGTAAAGGTAACAGAGAAAGCAAGCCTTTGTTGTTAAGTATTGGGCCCCTTTCAGGAAGGCATGTGTCTTCTGGGGCTGAAGAGCTCAAACAGCCCATCTGAGATGGGGACATGGAGAAGGACATGGGGACATGCTTCGTAAGGCCGGTGGAGGAGGGAATTCATTTCCTTGGCTCCATCTCCATACAGCCTGTTACATCTGTCTTTGCTAGTAAAGGTTTTGACATTACTGGCTTGTAGGATTGTGATTTTTTTCCCTTATAAAAATTTTTCTATATTGTGGAACCCAAGAATATGGCTTATTATATTATTATATTATTATAGATATTCTCTGGGAGTGATGAAACTGTTAATTTTCTTTCGGATGTTTTTGATTACTTTCTTAATCATATAATTCCCTTCTCAGACAATCTTGAAATATTCACTGCAAAGGAATAATGTGGAGTGGTTATTAGAGAAGAGAACTTGATAAATGCAAAGAGCAGGGGCTTTGGAGTAACAAACCTGGGTTGAAAGTCTGACTTTCCCATGTAATACCTGTGCTTTATTATCTCCTGTTTGCTGCTTTCTCCATCTCCTTGCCTCCATCCTGAAACTATACCTGATCAGTTGCTCAGTATCTAGTGTTACCATTATCTTCGTCACCATGATTGTTAAAATCTGTGGGGCATGGTGTTGAAATAAATGTAGAATTCAGAACAGACAAGACACAGATTTTAGAAGGAACACTGTTCTTCGGTTAGTCTATGCTATATATGTCTCCCCTGTAAAAATTAGTGTGAAAATAGCCAACATTGCCTGTAATCATTATTATTATTTTTAAGTAATAGGTTTATTGACATATAATTCACTGACCATAAATCTCACCCCTTTAAAGTATTTTTAGCGTTTTTGTGTTTTTTTTTAGTATATAATCATAGAGTTGTGCATCCATCATCACTATCTAATTCCGGAATATTTTCATTACCAAAAATAAACCCAGTACCCATTAGCCATCACTCCACATCCCTCCTCTTCAGCTCCTGGAACTACTCATTTACTTACTTTCTCTGTGGATTTGCCCATTCTGGATATTTCACATAAATGGAATCATACTATTTGTGGCTTTTTGTCTTTGGCTTTTTTCACTTTGCGTGATGTTTCCAAGATTCTTCCACGTTATATCAATACTTCATTCCTTTTTAAAATTGCTGATAATATTCAATTATAGATATACCACACTTAATTTATCCATTTATCAATTGATGGACATTTGGATTATTTCTACTTTTTGACTATTATGAGTAAAGCTGCTATGAACATTTGTTTACAAGGTTTTGTGTGGACTTGTTTTCACTTTTCTTGATTATACCTGGGCGTGGAATTGCTGAGTCATATGGTAACTGTGTTTTAACATTTTGAGGGTCTGTCAAACTGTTTTCAAAGTGGCTGCACCATTGTACATTCTCACCAGCAATGTACGAGATTCCAATTTTTCCATGTCCTTTTCAACACGTGTTATTGTCTGACTTTTTGATTATAGCCATCCTAGTGGGTGTGTAATATCTCACTGTGGTTTTGATCTGCATTTCCCAAATGACTAATGATGTTGAACATCATTTCATGTGCTTGTTCGCCATTTGTATATCTTCTTTGGAGAATTTCCTGTTCAGATCCTTTGCCTATTTAAAAATTTGGGTTATTTTGTTGTTGAGTTGTAGGAGTTCTTTATATATTCTGAATATAAGTCTCTTATTAGACATATGACTGGCAAATATTTTCTCCCATTCTGCGGATTGTTTTCTTACGGGTGTCTTTTTACCCCCAGCTTTATTGAGATATAACTGATATATAACGTGTGCAACTTTAAGGTGTGCTGTGTGTTTATTTGATACATTTATATATCTCAGATATATAAATGTATATACATGTATTATACATTTATATAAATGATGCTAACGCCTACATCATGTCATATAATTACCATTTCTTTTTTGTGGGGAGAACATTTAAGGTCTACTTTCTTAGCAACTTTCAAATCCATAATATAGTATTTTTAACTTTAAGTGAAGTCCAGTTTATCTATTTTTCATTTGTCACGTGTGTTTTTGGTGTCACATTGAACAAACTATTACTGAGTCAAAGGTCATGAAGATTTACTCCTATGTTTCTTTTAAGAGTTTTATGGTTTTAGGTGTGTGATCTATTTTGACTTAATTTTGTATATGGTTTGAGCTAGAGTTCCAACTACATTCTTTTACATGTGGATATCCAGCTGTCTCAGCATCATTTATTTGAAAAGACTATTCTTTTCTTCATTGATTTTTTTTTTTGGCACCCTTTTAAAAATCAATTTATCATAACTATAAGGGTTTATTTCCAGACTCTCAGTTGTATCCCATTGGTCTGTATGTCTGTCCTGTGCCAGTAGTACACTGTCTTAATTACTGTAATTTGTAGTAAATTTTGAAATCAGGAAGTATGAACCCTTCAACTTTGTTCTTCTTTCTTAAGATTGTTTTTAGTGGTTAGGGGCTCGGGATGCTGAAGTCCCACAGTGTGAGGTTAAGAACTGTTCTTCCTCAAATCCAGTAGTTCCCTATTTGACATATATTGAGAAAGACACAGATTTAGATGCACAAGGAGGAAAATAGGGTTTATGAATGATGTTCATGAGCAAATACTGGTTTTCTTGTTTGTTTTTGTTTTTTTGCCATGGTAGAGGCTGAATTTGGAAATGTATGTAGTTAGGTAGAGTGGAATATAGCAACAGAACACCTTATCACTGGTGCAGGTGATAATTTGGATGATTTTGATTATTTTTACCATTGTCTTTCATCTTATAGTTTGATTTTTCTTTTCTTTCTCTTAGAACGAGCCTCTGACCCCAGGTTATCATGGATTCCCAGCACGGGACAGCCAGGTTGGTATCTGCTGTGTAAAACTCAGAGGATATATGTGTGTGTGTGTGTGTGTGTGTGTGTGTGTGTGTGTGTGTGTGTGTGTGTGTGTGTATGTGTGTGTTCATTTTATCTAAGGATGCTATGATAGTGTTTCTTGAAATTATTTATTTTGGAAAGTGATATGGTTAGTTTCAGCAATGAATGTACATTTAGAGAGATAAATAAAATATATTTTTTAATCCTAAAAGTATTGTAATCATGTTATTGAAATTGTGGATATTATAGGGGGAAAAAAATCACTTAAGAGCAGTCATAATTGCTTTTGTTTTTTTCTTCTCCAGGCTATATAATCATTTTTTAACCAGATTTTTCTTGATGCCTCATAATTCTAAATGCTGGACTTGTCTTATTCTCTGCTACTTAGCTCCTGCCTGCACAGATTTTTTTTTGAGTCCCGCAATAATCTGCAACAAGAAAATTCCATTCTCCTCCCTGGGGGAACTCAGCCGTATGGTTTTAATCAGGGAAGGCTTGCTTGAGAAAGGGAAGTTTCTACTGCCTTTCTTTGTTGGGTAGGGAGGCTGATTGGAAAAAGCCCAGGCCCTATTGTGGGTTGAAGCAGAACTGCTTCCTAGGAGACATGCTCTGTATGGTTTAGGGGAGTATATAAAACTCCTTCCCTGCCTTTTGGTATTTGAAGCTTTGAGCAGATGAAGCCAAAGCAGAGTTAGGGTAGAACAGGTAAGGCTGTCTCAGAAATGGTGTGGCTTACGACACGCATCCTCTGAAATTTACCTCCTTGTTGTTTGGGGATATAGACATTCTTCAGGAGATTTGAAAGGGTAGCTTCTAGAAATATCTTCCAATATTTATTCATGAGTCCTTATAGAGTTGTCAGGAAAAGGGCGCCACCATTATTAGGCTTGTCCAAGGGATATGCGTTATCAGAGTGTTAAACCAAAGTCAGCATAGCAGTCCCCCTTTCCAGAAATTATTGAACCTCATCAGAGCCCCTGAAGCAGGTTTTAAAAATTAGGATGGCCTCATAATCAACAGTCACCTCTTCGGGGGGCCTTTGAGGTTTGAGAGTATTTGCCCAATTCTTGCAAGTTTTGGTGCTGGGTCGGCATCAGGATGGCCCCAGGTAGGACATGGAAAAAAAGGGAGAGAAAAAAAATTGTTCAGCTCTGTGTTCATCTCTAGTGGGATCATCACCGTTGGAATTGAAGATTGTCTCTATGGAAGTTTTTGGTGAAAGATTAGATTTACCCCTAATCTAAAGAGAATATACAGGGTTTCCCCCCCCCCCCCCTTTCTTTTTTCTTGGTTTGGGTCTACCCTAGAGTTTCTGTATGCTGTGAAATTCATGCCCTTTGATAGTAGCTCTATATCCTGTTGATACATCAGAAAAAATGCTGTTGTCCAGAGATCTAGCCCTCAGGATTCGGATTGCGTAGGTCTGAGGCTGGGCTTGGATGGGCAGGTACTTAGGAATTCCTGTAGGTGATGCTGTTGCACAGCCAAGGCCTATGGGCTGCTTTAAAGGAGCGACAGTTCTGTTTCATTCTCTACTTTTCACCTGTGACCCTTAAAAATATAAGGGATCAAGGTCAGTCTTAATTTAGGCTTGCATACTAATGCAAATATTTGGTTATTTATAAAATGTTGCTTATTTTGCATATAGGCTTATTTTAGATATAGGAAGGTAAAACGAATTGCAGTATGGGAATGGACTTCATGAGTTGAAAAGAATCTGAAAGGGTACATAAAATGCTGTGTTCTTCCTATGGGGGTTACAGATCAATAAGGAACCAGGCGAAAGGAATTAAGAGGAATTTGTTAAAGCACAAAAAGTAGTCTCTCTGCTTAGAAGCCCTTTATTTTTCCTTTCTTGTGCAGTGGGGACCCACTTCTGTAACCTGCACATTCATTACTCGTACCATCTCTGCTGTAGGCCTGTGCAGACCCTTTGCCGTGGTTTAAAGCTGCTCATTTACTTGGAGGCACATTCTAATGGTGACAGGTTTATTTTAGGTTACTTTCTTCCGCTTTATTTTGTTCTCTGGCTGGATCTTTGAATTAGAGATCTTAGAGTAGTGCAAATAGGCAAATATTGAATAGCTGCTTGTTGTATTTGATGAATACAGAATCCAAATGAGTGCTGCTAATTAATGTGCCTAACCTTGTGAACTCGCACTTTGCGCTCTGAGATTGGAGAGCCATTTATCAGTGTGAAACACTGGTCATTGAGCAGCCTGAGCTGGGCAGAAACTGAACTTGTGATCTTATATCTCCCCAGGGTAGTTTGGCTCCGCAAATCCAGGATGGGGTGGGGGAGGTGAAGGTGAATTTTAATTGTGCGTCTTTATTTGCTTTCCTTATTCTTTTGCTGTTCCTTTCCAAATAGATAGGAACCATCTCCAGGCAGGATTTTTATCAGCATCTATTGATGATTTTAAAAGAGATAAAATAGACAGCGTTTTGATTGCTGTAGAGTAATTTCATCAATATTTTCTCCTTTCCATCCTCACAATCTTCTTTTGAAGCAGACATTTCCTTTGGAAAGATAAGGAAACTGAGGCACACAGGTTAAAGTGATTCATCCAAGGTAACAATGCAAGTTGATAACTGAAGAAGAACTGAATTTTGTCTTCTGTTTGTTGAGGACCCTTCCCTCTATACTGGGGATTATTAACTCGCCCAGGGGAGTGGGTCGTGCGCATGTGTGCCTGCTCACTCGTCTTACTTTATTTACCTTTTGGGGCCTTCATAGACCCTTCGAAACTAACCCATAGCGCTAGGAGCCCATGACCCCTGGCAGAAGATTATTACAGCTGAGCTCCGTACCACAAAGTGGACCTGCAGTTTCACTGTGTTAGTGACCCTTTTCATCCTGTTATGAAGCCCTGGCAACACATTTGAATTAAAAACCTGGGAAGAAAAGCAGGGGAAAAAAATACCCTTCACCTTGTAGAGGTTTTGCTTTTTATGCAAGTTACTTCAGCCTCTTTCCCAGCCAGTTAGCAGCTGTAGGGGATGGCAGTCCATTGCTTTCAGGAAGCACTGCAAACACTCCACTGTGCTGGCCATTGCGGTCTGTCTGTGGAAGTGGGGGAGACACACACCGTTCCAGATTTACTGAGGTGGAATCCAGCTCAGAAAGGCTGCACATTTTATCTAAGGCCATGCAGCAAGTGAGGTTGATGATACAGTGTAGTGGCTCAGGTTCCTAGCTGACTTCCTTTGTGATTATGTGTATGTGCTCATGTGAGGTCTCAAGTGTTGATCAAGGCTGGAACATTTGGTGGGTTTGTAATGTGTTTTAAACGAGAGAAGATCTGTGTGCATTAGCTCCAGAGTTTTTGTATAGGAGGGGTTTAGGAGCAGCAATCTGGTTAGGCTAGTTTTGCAGAGCAAGCTTACTGTTTTTGCAAACATTATTTATTTGGGATGGCTTTCAGGGGCTCCTGGGAAGTACAGTGGGAAGTCTAAGGCCAGTCCCTTGTCTCCTCTTGGTGCCATAACTTTATGTCTGATGTAATTAGGGTGACCTTATAATTTATCGTTCAAGTTGGGGGGCACTTTTGAAAGTGCAAAGGCATGGTAATGTGGGAACAGTCTTAGGCGAACCTGGATGAATGGGATGTGTGATCAGTTCAGCTATTATTAAAGGAATGCAGTGAATGTCCTCTTAACAAATGTGATCATGACTTGGGATTATGGCACATTGCCTAATAACAATTTGGGAGTGAAGCATTGCCATTCACATTTGAGATGAGAGGTAATAGTGCAGACTCTTGATTGGGTGCAGGTATCGAGTTAGCTATGGAATTGGGAATAGCATTAAGTTATAAAAACTAATATTTGTAAAGTACTTTATAGTGTGTACATCCGTGTATATTCAGTTTTGATCTTCACAATAGCTGTGGCAGGTAGGTTGGGCTTTATTATCCCTATTTTGAAGATGAGGAAACCAAAGCACAGGTTTTTAAATCAACTTCCCAATGTCACATAGATAGTAAGTGGCAGAATTGGACTTGAACCTTGGATTTTCAGCCTCCATGACTTGATTTCCCTTTTGTGTTCTTCTGTCAGTGTTTCCTCTTTGAATCGGGGATGTTCTCTTGCTAGTGTGACAAGGTAAGATATTATGGAATCTTTGGAGACTATAGCAACATGAACAGTCTTTATATGACCTGTAGGTCCCTCAAATAACTTATTTGTGTCAAGTTTTCTTTCTTTCTTATTTGTTAAAATAGCTTATGGTCCACAATTTATCTTTTTGCATTTTAAATATAAAGAAAAAAAATGTCATGGTGTCAAGCTCTTTATCTGATTTTTAAATGTTAAGTCAGTGGCTCCTTAAAATTTTTTCCCGTCAGTTTTCTAAAATTCTGTTGAAAAGCCACAGGATGGTCAGATGATTCATAGAAACAAAGTGGGAATATCAAATGAGACGTGTAATTTGACATATATGACTTATAAAATTAGAGATTTAAGTTCAGAGTGGCAGTCTTACTTTTACTTTGCAGGATAGACTAAAAATGACTAAGGGATGGATATATTTTTTTCCAAAATATTTTCTTCTCAAGAATTTTTTTTTTTTAAATTTCCCTTTGTCTAACCAGTTCTCCATTTTATCCCTGGGATTGACTTAATTTTAGTCCCTTTTTTTCTAACTGAACTTCCAGGCATTTTTGGTATTTTGATTGGGAGCCGTGCACAATAACAAATGCGTTTTCTTTCATATTCATTTGGTTTGGTGGCAAAGAAATGATGGCTGTTTTTCTTCCCTTGGGGAGAGTTGGAATGGAAGTCACAGCAAGGATATTCACGACCTCGCTCAGTGTCTCAAGCTTATAAAAAGATGGTAACCGCTAGTAAGCAATACGTTTTACATTGTGACCCACTGTGCACGCACACACACACACGTGTGAATATAACTTAAAATTAGTCCTACCAACTAATACTTATCCTTACTATGTTCTAAGCACTGTGATACTTTCCATTCCATTAAAAA